GCCCCCTACTGGCCCCACTAACACCTCTTCCAGCAGCAACCTCAGCTTTCCCAGGAGTCTCCCCTGCAGGTACTGGCCAGGCTCACACCTCCAGCCTGTGAGGGCGGCCAGCTGTGAGCTGCAGGGTGATAAAGCTGCTGACCTTTTCAGAAGCCTGGCATTGCACCACAGCCTCGGGACTTCAGGGGTTCCTTCAGGGAAAGGGTCACCCTGCAGTGCAGGCGGGGATCGGGAGAGCAGGGATCGGGAGAGCAGGGATCGGGAGAGCAGGGATCGGGAGAGCTTGCCGGAGTCACGCCAAGGCCTGTAGCTGGAGCTCTACTAGGTCCTTGTCCTATTAGGGTTGGCGAAATGACCAGAGGAGGAAACAGACTTGATCTTGCAGCCCAACAGTCTGCGAGCAACACCAGTAAACCCTTCTTAAAGCAAACCATGGAATTCTGTTCACAGGGGCTGTCTCGTCCATGTGAAGCCGTTGTGCAGAAATGTACCGGGTTTTCTGAGTTTGCTGCACTGCGAGGTCAGCTGTGCGGGTGTCTGCCGCGGGAGTAAACACAGATACAGGGGCCACACGCTGCCCGTGGCTCTTGGGTCACCATGAAAGCCCTGCTCCCCCGCTGTTTATAAAGGCTGTGATGGCACTTAACAACATGTCAGTAGCTGTAATTATGATGTGGCTTTGCCCAGGTTTCGTTAGCCTTGGAAATGGCACTTGTCTAGCATAACCTGTATGAAACCTATAACCTGTGTGTACCCAAGCTCCACAACAGCCTGTTGGTCACCTATTCCGAGTCCATCAACCAGTTGTCCGAGTCACCTGCCTCACTAGGGGTTTATTGAGCTGGGTGGGCCAGCTGGCTTTTGGCAAGTGCTGGCCAAGCAGGGGAGGTCAGCTGTAAGAGAAGAGACGCCAACATCCCGCGTAAGCAACGGCCCCAGGAGACCCGACGTCTGAAATTCTGTCCCAGTGTTTTGATCCTGCTCCGACTGACAGCGCGGGGGTCATGTGGCCACGCACACAGAGCTCTCGGATGCTTTCCATGTCACTTGTGCTCAGTGTCTCTGTAGTGGACGATTTCCCCAGACGCAAAGTCACCTCTTACTGCAGCACTACTTTTCCACCCAGCCCAAGCTCGGCGGTGCTCAGTGCTTGTGACCTGTTTCCTAATTTCAGAAGTGGTTCCAGATGTACACTGCTTCTTTGCAGGCACGCTTTTCAAACAGGGGGCCTGTTATCCTCCCGGCTCTTGGTGAAATGACAACCTCCACTACATCAGGGCGAGCAAACCATAGCGCCCTCCCTCTTGCCGGGTGATTAAACTCCTATCTCCCCTGGCCTCTGCGCCAGAGGAGAAGCCGAATCAAATCATTTCATTGGAGTCAGGGGGAGGAGCTGGACCCTGCCCAGCAGCTCTCCCAGCTCTGCGTCCGCATGAATAATAGAGACTCGAGTTTGGGATTGTTCAATTATTAATCCCTTGCCTAGCAGGTCAGATGAGGACAGGTCCTCATTTACAGTGACACCTGGGTTCAATTTCTGGGTTCAGATCTGAATTTGTGCTGTATGTTGAGTTTTCCCCAGTCTAGAAACACGCTGGTAGGTTAGATGGCCTCTGTGAAACTGGCTCTGGGGTGAGTGTGCGTGCTTGTTTCTGTGTGTGCCCTGCGATCAGCTGCCCTCCCCGGCACAGAGTGTCCTGCCTTGCTCCCGATGCTTGCTGGGATAGGCTCTGACCTCCCCTGAGGCCCTGTGTTGGATACAGGGGCTAGAAAGTGGATAGATAAAGGCACTGTGACTTTAAACCCAGGTTGGTACACAGAACGCCAATTAATTCATTAAGGCAGGATGGTGTTTTCCCAGTGCGAGATCAGTAAATTCATTCGCACCGGTGAAGTCTTCGTTTAGTATACGGAGAGGGCCGATCAATCAGACTGTGAGCGTCTGTGCGATAAGGGGCTCGGGTGATAAATCTCAGGTAGACATTACAGGGCTGCCCGAGGCCCTGCGATAAATCACATTGCCAGTCCCGGCTGTGGGCATTTGCACAGGCGGGAGTCCAGACAACGCAGAAAACAAGATTTCTGGTGATAAAGGAAGCCAAGTTCAGGTTTGACTTTGGCTTGTAATTTATCATTCAGAGTTTTGAAAATGAAAGCACTGTCCGCGCAGTGGACAAGGAAAAGTGTGGTGATCGCTTTTTTTTTAAGGGAGCAGTTCGAAATATTCCTACTGATGTCTGATATCCTTTCGAAGAAAAAGATCCGGATGTCTGCCTGTGTTTGTGACTAGGCTGTGTACAACAAATCTGGATTGAGAGCATTGGAGAGGTTAGGAAAGAGAGGAGGATGTTCAGCGTTTGTGTGCCCAGGTGCAGGTTGTTGATCCAAGGGTCTCCTCCTGTTGGCTCGTGAACTATCCCAGGGAACTGGCTGCAGGCGTGGGGCTGGGCAGGCTGCTCCCGCAACTCTTTGTGTAAAGAAATACCTGCCTTTAATTCCCGATAGTTTCCATTTGTGCCCTCTGGCTTGTGTTCCACTAGGCTGACATTACCTCTGAGGATTTTGTATGCTTTATTCACATCCCCTTGTAATCTTCTCTTCCATGACTAAAGATATTTAGTTCCCACTTACTCTGTGTGTGACATTTAATTAACCTATTCTGGACTTTGAGGGCTGAAAAGAATTCCTGAAAGACTGCAGTAGCTGATTGCATAATACCGTGTATGTTAATGATGAAGGTGTTGCAGCGTGTGTCAGCGTACGTGTTTAATATATTCATGGTTTTGACAGGCACCTATCTGTTGCCAATATGAGGACAAAATCTGAGAGAGAGCCTTCCCACAAAGATCAGCAATTGATATGTGTTGCAAAAAGATAAATTACTTTTTTTGTAAACCAAATGGCGTCTTCATTTAAATCTTTCCAGTGTTAAAGCACAACGAAACCACAGAAAATCCGCTGTCAAACCAGAGTAAATCAGTGTGACAGTAGATAATGCATAATGACCCCTCTGACCCCAGAATGTCTGTCCAGCGCCTCTCAGTTTATTGATGCAGTCAGCCAGACCTCTCTTTCGCTTCCACCAGAGAGTGTCTCGTTCTCTCTCTTTCAGTCCTCATGTCTGTCCTCCTCTCTGTCTCTCTCCCTCGCTCTCACCTCTTCCAACCCTTCTTCCCTCTCTCTCCCCCTCTAACCCCTCTAACCCCTCTTCCCTCTCTCTCCCTCTCTCCCCTCCTCTAACCCCTCTCTCTCCTCCTCTAACCCCTCTTCCCCCTCTCTCTCCCCCTCTAACCCCTCTCCCTCTCTCTCCTCCTCTAACCCCTCTCTCTCCCCCTCTAACAAGCAGTGGAGCTCACCACTCTGCTGCACTCTAGCAGCTCTCCAGCAGCTCTCTCAGCAGGAATGCCACTGTGTCTGCGCTCCGCTGACCAGTCTTGGCACTCTCTCTGTCTTCACTCCACTGACCGGGGCCCCTGTGGAGGAGGAGCAGAGTGGGCAGGGTCAGACCAGAGCACCCAGGGTGCCAAGATCCCTGTCCCAGTGGCTCCAGCTGGGCCCTCAGTGCCATAACTGAGCTAATTAACCCAATTAATCAGAGCTCCTTTAATTGGTGTGCATCCCTGATCTGAGAGATGCAGTCTTCAAGTCACTTCTGAAATTGGTAACTAAAAACAGCTGAGAATAGTTGTAAGGTATGAGCTGGATTGGGGATGGTGTTGAGCAGCAGGTGCCCGGACTGGTGCAGACCTGTGAGCGGGTGACTTCACCCACCCGGCATCCTGCTACGTCACTGCCTCGTGGCTCCAGAGTCCTGGGATTAATTCCAGCCTGGGAGTCTACTAATTCCAGAATTCCTCCTGTTTCCCCAAACTGGTAAATGGCAACTCGAAATTGTGCCTATAGTTTCTGTACTTCAAAATTGTCCATACTATATACCCCTAAATTGTCCACGCTGTATTTGTACCCCTAAATTGTCCATACTGTATTTGTACTCGGTACCCCTAAATTGTCCGTACTATATACTGGGGCGGAGCGGTGGCTCTGTGACCTGGAAGGTTGCCAGTTCAAATCCCGCAGCCGGCAGAGGAATCCTACTCCGTTGGGCCCCTGAGCGAGGCCCTTCACCCCAACTGCTCCAGGGGCGCTGTGCAATGGCTGACCCTGCGCTCTGACCCCCAGCTTCTCTCCCTGTCTGTGTGTCTCATGGAGAGCAAGCTGGGGTCTGCGAAAAGACACATTCCCAATACAAGAGATTGTAAAGGGTTAATAAAGTGATGAAGTGAAAGTGAAGTGATATACGTATCCCTAAATTGTCCACACTGTATTTGTACCCCTGTCATCGTGAAGTCCCGACCTACGGGTCGAAGGGGAAAGGTCACGGCCGGCTCTGAGCAAGCTTTAACACACGAGCTGCGTCGCAGGCCTGCAGGACTAACATCCAGCTTGCTTTCAGCCATCTTCCATGTGAGGCTGCACTTCACTTTGTGAGTTACTTTTCTCAGGAATCACAAGGAATAAGTGGGTTAAGAAAGGCCCACACTCAATTAGATGGGTGAAAAACCCCTGATAGAATTTTTTGAGGAAAACATACGCTCTGTACAGACTTCATTTTCATTGATCTTTTTAGCTTTCGCATTTTTTCCAGCACTTAAGAACAAACCAGTTTTAGCACTTTGTCAGTGCAAAATTCATCAAGCAAAATCCCCCCTCAGACACGAACAGCGTTACAAGACTCGCACAAAAACATTCATCACAAGATTCATGCTGAAACACAAAAACATTCATCACAGGATTCATGCTTGAACACAAAAACACATTTATCACGAGATTCGTATTTAAACACAAAACATAGGAATTTATCATGAGATACATGTTGAAACACAAAATACAGGAATTCCTTACAAAGTCTATATTTAAACACAAAATAGAAATGTATCTTGAGATTCAAAGAAATTATCACAAGGGCAGTGTGTCCTCACAGTGGACACACATGGGCAGTGTGTCCTCACAGTGGACACACATGGGCAGTGTGTCCTCACAGTGGACAAACAATAGCAGAACGTCCTCACAGTGGACACACAAGGGCAGTGTGTCCTCACAGTGGACACACATGGGCAGAGTGTCCTCACAGTGGACACACATGGGCAGAGTGTCCTCACAGTGGACACACAATAGCAGAACGTCCTCACAGTGGACACACAAGGGCAGTGTGTCCTCACAGTGGACACACAAGGGCAGCAGAGCCCTGTTGGGAGCGTGTGAGTGTGTTGTCTGTTGACAATCAGTCAGTGTGTATAGACCAGAGGTCAGTGAGAGGAAGAGAGATTTGATGCAGGGAAGGGCTTTCTGTGTACTGTGTATACTGTCTGCTATTTGAAGTAACTTGTGAATTATTCTGTGTAGTCTTGCATACTGCTTTACTCCAGTATTTGGGGTTAAAATGTCATTTCTATGTCACATAATGTTTGCTGTGCACAAACTCGCAAAGCTGTGAATGTCCGAGGACAATCGGGGTTGTATCTGGTGAGGCTGCAAGACAGGCGGCTACATTGCTCCCCTTCTCTTCCCATCTCTCCCTTCTGTCTACTTCTCTTTCTCTTTGGTGCAACGGCCTTATTTCATTCCATTCTCTCTCCTCTACTCTCCCCCTCTCTCTTCTCCTCCGTTCCTCTCTCCCCTCTCTCCCCTCTCTCTCCTCTCTCCCCCCTCTCCTCTCTCTCTCCTCT